TTATCCGTTGTCTAGGTTCGAGTTGAATTTTATTGATGATGGCATGATTTATGTGTTTTACATGAGGTATAAGAGTTGTGTCCAGGTCTAGTAGTCGCTCCAAAGTACTTTGACTCGGTCAAGGAATCCACGAGTCACTTAGTCGATATGATTTCAGCTAAGTATATGTGCCTTGTGTGATGTGTCGAGTTGGATAGCCAGTTAATAGGCTATCATAATTGTTGTACGTTCTTCGAGCTGAACTTTTGCCATAATTCCTTCAACTCTGTGGTTGGCTATATCTCGGTACCCAGGTGGGTCTTATTTAAATTGTCTGTGACTTGAATGAAAATGTTTTATTTATGTGGGTATGATCAATGTATGCATGTGAACATGTAGCCTTCGATGTGAGCTGGTTTCGGCCGTCGAACAGTTATCCCTGTAACTGTAAAGCAAAACCCATGGGGTTTACTCCTACTGCTGGCATCGATAGAAGCCCGAGGGGCATTCGGTGTAGAAGCCCGAGGGGCATTCGATAAAAGCCCATGGAGCATTCGATACGTCTACCAGTAGTAGTCTATTGATATAGGTGTGCACATGAATCTTGATTGAAGATATATGTGATGGAAAAATTGGGATAAATGAATAATTCGTATTCGTACTGCGACCATGCCATTTAATTTCTCGTATATTATTATTGTTCATGTGCATAGTAGTGAGCACAACAGTTCACTGTGCTCACTCCCACCTGCTCTTCATGGATGCAGGTTAAGCGGGTGTCGGATGACGAGGCAAAGACGAGTGGTGGTCGGTCGTTGACCTGACCTAATATAGTAGTTTCCGCTTACATTTATGAACCTTGGAATATCGTCATTATTTATGAACATTGGTTATATTTATGATTTATCACTTTGGAATCTTTGGAACTTTAGATTGGGAGATGTTCCCTTATGAATAATTTAGATGACCTTGGGATTTATGAAACTTCTGGATTTATGATTTATGATTTATGCAAGTATGATTTATGTTAATTATGTGACTTAGTTATAGTAGCGCCCTTGATAAACAGTTGTTAGGTTCTGTGAGGAACATCAAACAACATGCACAGTATTGAACTTTATCGAAATAAATCCAAACGCAGCGGAATCTATAGTTTGGATATGGACGTTTACCTTTTAAAATTTTTGCCGACTCTGAGACGATGTAGAGTACCGTTGATGCAGTTCGTCTGAACACCACAATCTAATGGGCAGGTAGATTTGGCCTTCAATAGATTCTAATCGATAGGTTCCACAAAAGTTGATCACACGGTGCACGGGTCTCGGTCATCAGTGCAGCGGGCAGTTCGTGCGCGTCGGGCGCGGAAAGCGTACGCGGGCAGCAGTCACGGACTCACGTGGGTGCGCGCCGAGCACTGGCGTGATGCGCGTCGGGCGCTGGTGATGCGGAAGTGGGTTTTGACCCCCGAAGATGAGAAGGTCCTAAAGCCGATACTATCCGAGAAGGCCGAGCAAAAGGCCGTAGCAAGGCTTGCATGGCCTAGGAGACGTGCACGAGCCCGTATACGAGGGTGTCGACGTGCACAATGGCATAGGAGGTCGAGCAAGAAGCTCAGGAGATCAAGGCTTGAAGGGTCGAGCGCATGGATGTGCGCAAGGGCACGCGAGAAGGTAGTCCATCGACGTGCAACATTAGGGCAATGGAGGAAAGACTATGTGCAATGGGCCGGGGCCGAATGTATGATAGCGGGCTCGGGTAACGCGGTCGACTGGTGCAAGGCGTGCGTGAGGGAGTCTAAGGCCTTGGGCGTTTACATTGCGGAGGAGACGAGCGGTGCGCGAGGGGTGGATGTTGGGTGGACAGCGCGCACATGGGATGGCCGCGAGCAGGCGAGCGTACGAGCGGTAACATGCGCAAGAGCGCGCGAGAAGATGGTCCCGAGACGGGCAACAAGCGGTCGCAAGGAAGGGCGCGAATACGCGCATTGGCGTAGACGTGCACGGGCGAGACCACGCCTCGAAAAGAAGCGCTATCAGAGGTTTTGGGATTCTTATAGAAGGAGTTAAACCTGGTGGGCATGGCTAAGAAACCAGGTGGCTCGAAGGAACGGAAGGCACGCGAGTTGGGTGCCCAACGGGTGCAGCCCGCGCACATGGGCACGCTGGCAGCGCGCTGGCGCACAGTGGGCATGCAGCGCCACGCGCGAGCGTGCGCGCGCACAGGCTGGTCGCGAACAGTTTGGGCGCGCGTGATGAGGATCGTATGTTTCGATTGCTGATAAGCCACAAACCAGTGTCTTGAATCACCGATAGTTGCCTAGAGGTTCACAAACTGCACCCCTCTAAACAAATAAAATTGCAATAGAAATCTAGAAGAAATCTAAGACAAAGTGTTTGAACAAAAGTTCAGATTTTTATTGATAATTTTCATGATTAAAAATAACATAGGGAAGGGGCCTTTATATAGGCACAAAATATATCTAGTCCTAATCTACCTAGGAAATTATTAAAGCAATAAAATATTCGAAATCCTAATTAAGCTAGAAATTATAAAGCAATAAGGAAACTAAATAACTTGGCTTGCACTCCAAGTTGGGAAGAAAGATCTAGGGAAAATTCAGCTCAAAAAGCCTTCTAGAAGTCCCTTTTCCTTGTTGGCCAAGTCAGCCCGCACGCTGCCCCTGGCTCCTGCCCGTGCGCGCTGCTGCCCTGATGACGGATCGTGTCTTTACTCTATTTCCGGGTTGTGAATAAACGCGCACTAGGGCCTTCGTTATCCACGATAGGTGTATCTAACAGACGCACTATCGGCCTTCTCCTAGACACTGTGACTTCAAGACGCTCTAATGGCCTTCTCTCCGACACGGTATGTAAACACGCACTAACGGCCTTGTTTAAACACATGTAAGAACATCAAGTTCCCCCTATGAGATTCACTCATCAATTCCAAGCAATTCTAGAATGCTCCCAATCTCCAACTTTCGGCCGCCCTATCGCACCGCCTTCTATCCGTGCGCGCCGACCCTCGGCTTTCCTAATCCTCAGCGCGCGAGGTATCGCGCGCCACGTGTGGCCCGTACGCGCACGCCGTCTTTCCAGCCCTCTCGCCTAGTCCTTCGGGAACTAGGACTCGCGCGCGCCCTTCACACGCGCACGCTGTTGCGCACGCTTCGTTTGTGCCGATCATCTCGCGCGCGTACTCGTCATCGCCCAGCATTCCTACGCCCGCGCGGATTGGGTCATCCGCGCTTGTCCCGCACTTGCGCGTTGTCGCGCACCCATCGCCGCTGCCGCCTACATCCTGCGCGTCCCTGCCACCTGCGCGAGTGCCGCGCACGCCCCTCATGTCCGTGCCGCTCGCGCTGTCGTCCCATGCCTCGTGCGTCGCCTCCAGCGCCCGGGCGTCCCGATGCTCTATCGCGCGCCCCCATGCACCCGCTGCACTACGCGTTCCAGCCGTCCCCGTGGCCCGATAGTCTACCATGCACCCGCGTATGCCCGATGCCATCCGCGTGCCGCTTCCCTCCGTTGCCGATTCTTCCGAAGCGCACCATCGTGCGTTGCTCGCGTCCGGCATCTCGACGTCATTCGCCCGTGCACCGTCTCGACCCTACGACCCCTTGCGCGCATCACGGCACGATGCGTGTTCTTCGCCCGTGCTCGCACTCTCATCGCCATCCGACCTCAAGTTCTCACCCGATTCCTTTAGCTCTCCGGATGGCCATGGGTCCCATCTGTCCAACCCAATACAATCACCAGCTCGCCAAATCCAACCATCCTCCATTCTTTGCTTACCTCGCCTTCGAGCCTCCATCTTCCATGCTCGTCTCTTTCTCGCACATGGCTTACACCAACACTTCTCTTCTTTTGCTTTTGCCTTGTGTTTCCTTCGGGCTCGTTTGGTCTTGCGTTTTCTAGACTTCACCCCTAGCTTCGGACCACATCCTTTCGGCCAATCCCGTACACATGATGGCCGGTAAATAGGACTAGATGGCTCTTCCAACATGTTCTCTAGCCAAATATCTAGATTATCGCCATCATCATCGTCGGACTCACCGAGGTTAATAACCACTTCCGTATCATTCCCCTCCTCTTCGAGACTTTCCTTGTCCTCAAGGATTAGAAAATTCAGCTCTTCTTCATCGTCATGGTCATGAGTATCGATCACCATCGCTTCTCGGGCTTCCATGAGTTGACGCTCGTACTCTTCAATATTCCTTCGCTCATGAAGCACATCTAGATATGTTTTCTCCCATGGTGTGAGCTCTCTTTCCAAACCCTCCAACATCTCCAGATCTTCCCAATCTAACTCATCCAATGGTGGGTAAGACATTTTTTTTTTTTG